ATATATATATATATATATATGTATATATATATATGTATATATATATATGTATATATATGTATGTATATATATATATATATATATGTATATATATATATGTATATATATATATGTATATATATATATGTATATATATATATGTGTATATATGTATATATATATATGTATATATATATATATACGTGTATATATATATACATATATGTTTATTCGTATTGACCTTTTTTGCAATGCAGAAGTGTGCTCGCTTTTGTGATTTAGAACTTTTGATTTAGTTGCCTATTGGAGAAATGATTGGGAATAAAAAATGGTAGAAATCAGTCAAAATACTTGCTCTACAAACAAGTGTGTTCATGACTATACATAACTAGAATAAAATAAGAAGAAAATATCATTTTACTACCTCAAGCACCATAACGAGCTGTTTATAACATCTTAAAATCAATGGAAGTGAATAAAACAGGCAATCTCAAGTCTCATTCTTGCTCTAGTCTTACTTAAAGGATATTTTGAAGAATCCCTAAAATCCAAACAAATCCTCATACAATTGTCATCTTTAGTTCTCTAGTGAGAGGATGTTGGAAAAGCTAAATAGAATATTTCCGCTGCCTTGGATGCGATTTGTTTCTTGTGCATCCTGTATGTGCTCCACCAAATGGCTTTGTCCTGTGCCAGCAGGCCTGGAGATGAAATGACAGGCACTGAAATGGTCTGTTCACATCAGAGCCATATATTTGCTTCAGTTCTATCATTCCGTCAAGACAGCCTGTATGATTTGCTATATGCAATCATTCAAATGAACGTAATTAACACCCCTTATTTTAGCTTGCAAATGCTCATGATTTTTGTATATTATTCTTTTGGAGCCTATGGCATCAAATAGATCTCACCGACTGGCCGACGACAGCAGTTTGAGGCCTTGTGGTTTGGACATTCTATTCATTGGGCTAGTACCCACTCTGGTAACCCATATGCACAGAGTTACATGCCAGCACTTCAACCAACCATATCCGATTTCATTGGTTCTTGCTCTGTTCTGGGATTTGGCACAAAGCTATTTGAAAAGGTGACAGTTATTTGGAGATTTGCATGTATTTACACACCTGTTCCACTATAGAAGACGAATACTGAGAGATGCTTGACATCACTCAGAAAGAATTTCAAAGTAAAAAATCATTGTGATGCTTTGTGGTAGTTTGGATTTTTTTTATTTAATGTAATTTGTTTATTTATTTAATTGAATGCAAATTGTTTCTGTTTTATACAAGTTTACACATATTTATTTACATATTTTAACATTTACATGCATGTTTACTGACAAATTTAATCAATTTAATGTGTCCTTGTTGATTAGAATAGAATGCTTTTAATTGTTACTGTACATGTATACAATATACGTTATATGCATGTTCGATGAGATTAGGTGCATCTCACTACTTGGTGCAAACAAATAAATCTATCCTTTCAGTACAGATCATACTAAATACAAGTTATAGTAGAAATAACTGTAGATGATAAACAGTCATGCAAAATAGGGGAGGGGGGTGAGGTGGAGTAAACAGTTCTGAGGTAGAGCAAGAGGCATTATACAATATGTAAATGTAATATGATAAATAGTAGTACAAAAATAATTCTGAGGTTAAACTATATATAAACTATCTATATACACACACACACACACACACACACACACACACACACACACACACACACACACACACACACACACACACACACACACACACACAGTTGAAGTCAGAATTATTAGTGCCCCTGTTTATTTTTTCCCCCCAATTTCTGTTTAATGGAGGGAAGATTTTGTCTGCACATTTCTAAGCATAATATTTTTAAAAACTTTTTTCTAATAACTAATTTATTTTATCTTTGCCATGATGACAGTAAATAATTTTTTACTTGATATTTTTCAAGACACTTCTATGCAGCTTAAAGTGACATTTAAAGGCTTAACTAGGTTAATTAGGTTACCTAGGCAGGTTAGGGCAAATATGCAAGTTATTTTATAACGATGGTTTGTTCTGTAGATTGTCGAAAAAAAAAATAGCTTAAAGGGGCTAATAATTTTGTCCCAAAAATGGTTTTTAAAAAATTAATGACTGCTTTTATTCTAGCTGAAATAAAACAAATAAGACTTTCTCCAGAAGAAAAAATATTATCAGTTATATTATTATTATATATATATTACACACACACACACACACACACACACACACACACACACACACACACACACACACACACACAAGCTGTATATAATTAGATGTGTATTACATAAAGTCCAGTCCATGTGTGTGCATGTATAGGGTCAGTGCATGTGTGAGTTGAGGATGATAGTGGTTTTTGGCAAAAAGCTGTTCTTGAATCTGGTTGTCCTCATTCTGATGAACCTGTAGCGTCTTCCCGAGGGCAACAAGTTGAGCAGTTCTGAAAAATAAGACAAATGCACACAAAAGGTTTTTGTTATTGATCAGTGACCAGTCTAGCATAATTTTACCACACTTTTGTTTTAGTGTCAGTCCAGTGACATTTTTCAAAAGTTTAGTATTATCTGTTTATAAAGTGATTACAGTTATTTTGTGGGGCCATGTTGTAAGACCTGTTTTGTTTTGCTCAACAGAAGTCAGTTTGCAGTTGTAATAGTAGCTCATCAACAAATGAATCCTCACGATTTTTCTTAACCTACAGCTACCGAGGAAGAAGAACACCAGTCTTCCTCCCTGGCTGACAAAGTGTCTCTGTACAAAGGTGACATCACCATCCTGGAGATTGACGCCATAGTGAATGCTGGTGAGTTTGCAGATTTTAATCAATGGCAGTCTGACAGTTTCAGAATCTTCGCATGGCATCCAGTGCACAAGTTGGTGCCCTGTAAATTTTATTTATTTATTGCTCAAGCTGAACTTTCTGCATAGCGTGTTCACTTTGCATTTGTTGTACTTGGCTGACCTCTAGTGTCTATAAGTGATAAGGACATGACTACCTTTTTTTGTTATGTATTTTATGTATGATATGTCTGCTTATGTTTATTTTTGTGAAGTGTTTTGGGTATTTGGCAGCATGTTAAAGTGATATATAAATTTATACTTTAATTCATGGCTATAACAGTTTTTAATTGATGTGCATCAAGCAAATGTTTGCACTGTGACGATGACCTTGTTAACTGGATTCCACTGCGGTGGGAGAGCAGACAGATAATGCTGATGGTTTATCTTAAGTCATGGAAACCGGGCAACAATGATAGAAAAGTGTGGTAAATATAATGCAAATGCTTACAATATTGTGTTGCAGATTGTCATTGATTAGTTGTGTTCTTGATTCAAGTGTTTATCTCAGCATCCATCATTGATAGAAATGGTTTAACATGCATGCCACAGAGAGTGATTGAAAATAGCTGGATGTTAGGAGGTTCATGTTAAAACCACTGTCTGTTTGACAAGAGTATCCGTGAAATGTGATTTTTTTGCTGGGCTGTTGAATCGCTAGCCACAAATGGAAACTATTAACAGCTGTGTTGCACTCTGTTTACAATATGCAAAAAGATGTGTTTGTGAATGATTGAGGTTTTTTGTTTATCAATATAGTTCAGGCATTATGCAGTCTAATTTAAATAATGATGCCTGTGAGCTTTGGAATATTTAGATGAATCTAAACCTTCTGTTGTGTTTACTGCTGTTCTGCAAGTCGAGGAACTTTGCACAGTACTATGAACATTATCTCTGGAACTCGACTAGGAGTTTCCCCCTGTCATTTATGCATTTTGGTACTTGAAACTATAATTCAAAGTATCGTGTATAACTGTAAATATTAGATGTGATTAGATGGAAAACAAGAGTGTGCGTCTCATGATTTGTTTTCATATTTAAAGTGCAATTAAAGTGAATAAATATTCTATTATTTGGTGGCACCAATAACCTAGTGGTTAAGGCATTAAGGTGCTTATGGGAACCTGAGTTCAATTTCTATATATATATATATATATATATAGGGTTTATGGATTGATGGACAATTGCTGTGAGGTAATAGCACTACCCACTGCACCACCGTGTCACCCCATTTTTTTATCATGTTAGATGGGAAGTAGTGTTTTAGTACAATATATTAAATAAATCAAGCGAAATGTCAAATTATTAAAAATAATTTCCTTTTGTCTTTCAACTTAACTTATTTTTATGTGTATATAAAAGACTTGACCAACAGTATACTTAAAAAAAAAAAAAAAAGTGATCAGAATGATTTTTGTATATTCTTTAAACTCTTTGTGCAAATGTGCTGTTAGATGAATTTTTAAATAAAGATTCAAACTAATTTATTTTGTGCCTTTTGCAATTTTTCCTTCATACTCTGTGAGCCGCTACTATACAAAAATGAGGTAGCTTGATTAAAATGAGGTGGAATCAAAGCTGCTGCCAATAATTGTAAAGAGTAAATTTCCAACGGATCAGCTTGCCTTGATAAGAACCTAATTTTTCCACCTATCTTTCTTGCCATAACCTCTCCTGATAATTTATTATCTATTAACCATCCCAAAGAATTTAGTTATTTTTGACTCTGTTACCAAATCATTAATCCTAACCTCAAAAAAATCCTCATTCTTTAATTTTACTCTTGAAGCAAATAAATAGCCTCTGTTTTACCCAAGTTGTATAAAGAAGGTTTATTATCCAAAAACCAGTGGTACAAATTTCTTAACTGTGAACTCATGATTTCATCCAGGGCCCTTTTGTCAATGTTTGATTGAATAATTTATGCAGTTAATTTATTGGTTGATTTAATTGCTTGATTGATTGCCAGTACGTACTGTAAAATAAGCAAAACAGCAAAACTTTCTTGTGAATATGCAGAAGATGTATTTTTCTGCCTTTATTTTTGATGGATTGTTTGGTGGATAAATTATTGTTATACTGTGTGGTTGTTTTAGTGTGAAAAATTCCATTATGCTCCTCCATGATAACGGCTTTTTTTTAGTACAGTTACAGATTTGCCGCTGCTACAAGATGTCAGAATCCCTGTATAACACATTGTTAGTGCTCAGGAAGTCTCAGGAAGTCATAAGACTTTTCAAGACTACATAAACTATGACAGAGAAAAACAAATTAAGTGGACTTGTTCCCTTTTCTATTGTGTAGCTTTTGTTTGTGAGACAACCTCAAAATTTTCTGCAAGGTTGCATTAAGGTCAGTCAGCAACGAAAACAGGAAATGAAAGAAGGCTGAGTGGGATGCTGGTCTAATCTCGAGGTCTGATGCAATCATACCAATCCGAAACTGCAACAGTAAGCAAAGTGAATCCGAATTAATCATTCGCTCAATTGCACTGCGTTCGAGCTTCTCCCAGTTCTTATTTCAACAAGTCTGTTGGCACATTCTTCACATCAGTGGTCGCATAAAATAATGCTAAACCGTTTCACAGGGTTTGTGGCATTGAATTAGGAAAGTAATTGGTTTAAAGGCTTCAGAGTATGAGGGAGATGACTTATCATGCAGACGGGTGACTGTTCATCCATCAAAGGCCAGTGGCTCAGGCCAGAAAAGTAATCGCATTATTGCAACAGTGCTTTGGACTGCTTCTTAAAGCTCCATTTGCGCCAGTGTTTTTGTGTTTAGATTCCTGGAACAATGTTTCCATCTCTGAGCTATAATATGATGATAAGGGCAATCAGAAAACATCTCTGCCATTGCAGGGAACAGTCTCTTTGCTTTTAGTAGTCTCCTGGAAAATGTATAGCATTGTGCTCAAAGGTAAATAAATGTTGGTGTTTTTTTGTTTGTTTGTTTTTTTCTCACCTTTTTAAAAAAAAATTCCAATCAATTCGCCATGGAAAGTTTGCTTGTGAACTATTTCATTTGAATAAAACATTTTACTATTACTATTTTTAAATTTACGAAAAACTTCTATATTATTTATAAACCTGTTTACCAATGGGGAACTCAATTGAGGTCCACATGGCAACAATGTAAATATTAGAGTCTCCTCTAAGTTTTTCATCTCAAAGCTATTGGAGGCAATTAAGTCTAAATACGACTAGCCTCGTATTTTATTTTTATTTATGTATTCATCAGGATCCCCATTAGCCACTACCAAGGTTCATTCCATACTTTCATTTCTTTACACATTACAGTCCATTGGTTTGTTTTCGTTTTTGAAACAGGAAGCAAAAAATGTCCTTTTGATGCATGCCTGGTACAAAAATTCTGGCTAGCATTACTATACAAAAGTTGATCGTACAATACACTTGGAACTCTTGACACAGAAATATTTCTTATATAAAACCCAACAGAGAAACCATTACCCTATCCTTTACCAATTACCAACCTAAAGTTTTATGCATTTTCATAATATTAACCTTTCTATTACATTGTAAAATTAGTCGTGCCGCTCTATTCTGGACTAACTGTAATTTGTAAAAAGTCTTTACTTGATGCGCTCGACCATACCACTGGATAGTAATCTAGATAAGAAAGAACCATTGTCTGCCCTGCACAATTTGAAAGAGACAGTACTGTGGCAACAATTGTACACATCTCTTAATAATTGATAAACCTCTTTCCATAGCTATTACCATTTTATCCATCTGTTTTGGCCACTTTAACCTACTATCAAGCTTCATATGTACAATATGGTTTACCTGGTTGATCTGGATTAGGCATGGGGCGGTATATGATTCTGACAGCATGATAACCTTGGATAAAAATATCACTGACTTACAGTATTGTGATTTACTGCTCCAAAATAAATATTCTTTTTAAATGTCTGGGTAAAAAAAACAACAACCATTTCCCCCTTTGAACACAATACATTTTATTTTGAGAAACATTTATAATATTTTGAAAATTAGCTTGTAAACTATTTTAATTTGACTAAAACATGCAACTTTTTTATATTTGTCTAACTAAGTGGGGTCTGGCATAAATTAGGATGCATGTGGTCACATTTATACACAAAATACTAAATTCTTTATAATTTCTACACGTTTACCAGTGGGGATCTCAATTTAGGTCTCAATGGTGACAAGTGCCCATGAGTCTATGTGTAGTCATTATATATTTTTATTTTGAGAAACATTTAAAATATTTTGGAGCAGTAATCATGTCAGGCTAATATAATTCAAATGAATCATTGACTTCTGCCATCTTCAGATTTTTAAAAACAGAATTCTTTACAATTTAAAACAACATCTTACATATACTGTAGAAACGGTATAACAGAAAATGTTGCCGGTTTTAAAACCTTGACTTTTCCAAACCGCGGTATACCTTGAAAACGGTTATTGTCCCATGCCTAATCTGGATACAATACATAGGAAATACAATGTCATGCGACTTATACCAGGTTTATTTTTCTGCCACTAACAACTCCAGTCCTGTGGTTTTATAGGAGAGTAAAGTGTTCACCAAATGCTTGAATCTTGCAATCTGGTACACTTTGTGTGAATTCAGACATCCCCCCCCCCCTCTCACATGCTATCTTTCACTTATTATATAGTACAGTGGGAAAGCTTTCGATTTTAGTGTAGCCATAGAAGAAACAGGTGGATGAAGGAATGTCTCTTCCAGTTCCAGTCCCTCTGAGATGTGATAAATCTATTGTGCAGTTGCACTGATTGCCAATTTCTTCCTTAAGGAGGAGAATTGCATCATATAATGGATTTTGGTTCTTTTTGAGCATCTTGGATGTTAGAAGAAAGACGACAACCAACCTCCCCAAAAGAACTCCCAGCCGACTCTGACTTGGCTTTCTCCTGCTTTTAGTGTGTCTCTTGTTTTTTTTTTCTTCTTCTCAGTGTGTAG